TTTTTATATATAAAAAGCAGGTTTTCTTTCCATTCATATACGAACCTCTTGTCAATGGCATACAATTGCTCCACCAAATTCGACAATGCGCCACATCCGTAGAAACCGTTTTATTCCGCACGTTTTGTTACACCTATTTCCTTGACGCTGCCTGATGTCTTCCGAAGTTTACCTTGAAAATACTTGGGAAATAACGATGTAAAAACGAAAGTAACATATAGAAGATAGAACAAATTTCGAGTTTCATCTATTCATTGACTATGAGAAAGAAGAAGGTGCCACAACACTGCTTATACAACAGAACCAGTATCTGCCTGAAATAAAGTCCACTCGTTAAGTTGACTTCCTTTCAATAAATACTGTAGTGAAGCAGTGACGCATCATCTTGCGCATGTCATCAGACATCCTAGTGTGCAAAAGGTCGATATTTCCGGTCGAACAGGTAGGAAAATCTGCTCTAGGCGCGTCAGGTTTCATTCATCCGTAGTTTGTTTTTCGGTTGCGTGTCTGTAAACTGAGCAGTTCAGGCGTTTGTGCTGTTACTTTTCACACGTCTCATTCATAGAAATGACTCTTTTACTGACTAATTATCTACTTATAGGCCGTTTTTGGAAACGAATAACGACTGACCAGTCAAGAGTGATCTCACTGCAAACTTTCATAAAGGTCTGGTCTTGCACAAACCAGTCTCTTCAGTAAGGGATTTTCATATTTCACACCGCCACATTATGAAGACAAAAAACGCATATCTTACTACTCCACTTTTGTTGAGACACTTATGTGACAAATTTCTTCAGTTGTCGTCTCCGTCTTACAAAAATAGAAACAGCGCATTCCAATGGAGATTTATGCCTGCAAGTATTTCATGACTGTTGAGTTTGCTGTAATCAATAGGCTACGTTGTTTAGTATAAAGGTACTTCACAGTGAAACATACTCACCACAACATGCGTACACCAGCTTGTACGATCTTGTGCAAATGCCGTGATCTGAAGGTACTTCATAACTTAACAATCTGTCCTCGGGAATCGGATCCATAATTTGTACTCCAATTTGAGAATGCCAGCGTTCGCTGTAAAAACAAAAGAATGTAGAACACTCTTGACCTTCGTTAACCCAATATTTTTCACTCAGTACATTAGGGACCTACGTCTAGCTTATATTTGATCCCCAAAGCTCAGAAAAATAGAATAACCACGTTGCTTTTGTCTGATTTTCATTCTGAGTTACTATCCTGTTGTATCCAGCGGGCTTGCAAGGAGCTTTTCAAGGCTAATAATAAAAAGATATCAGTATGGCTTCGCTATCCTGTGAGCTAGAATCCTGGATCCAAAAAACGGAAGTGTATCATTCTGTTGTGGTCTTTTGCTCGTATACGCACATTGTCGGACCTAAAATCATTTTTATTACTAGCTTTGTTTTTTCATCTAGTGTTGTTGATTGGGTTAGTGATGTTGATAGCGCTGATGGTAATAACAGATTCTACGCAGTTGCGCGCAGTGAATCGGTTAATGAATGTTTTGACACCCAAGTGAATGTCATTCATACTAGTGGTTACTTGTTCTAATGCAATGCTCACGTCAATATATATATATATATATACCATTAAGGATCTAAGTGACAGTACACTTCTCATGATAAAAAGGTGAACAAATGAATGCAGTTAAATGTGTAGGAATTCCGTAAGAAGTCACATTCACAGGAAATAAGTGATCTCTTGGATGCACAGAATTATTGCCTCAGAACGGACTACCTCTACGCATAATGCTACTCAAAGAGAAAAAAACCCAGCGAAGCAACTTTATCATAACTTACTGAAAAGTGGGGCTTGATTAGTTCAACATAAAGAGCTTTGGTTTTTTGGGCTTGTCGAACTGTATTCTTAGTTCTGCCAAGGTTAATTTGTGTTCCTTTATTTAATCAAAGTGATTTATTTCGCCAATGTTAATTTCTGATTAGCGACTCTTGTGTACAGTTTTCTGCGGCAGAACTTCAGAATTTTTCTGGCTCATATAGTCGTGTGCCAACGTGGGCGGAAAACGCACCGGAGTATAACCAATTTTCTGGTCCGTTTAACTTTCTACACAGGCTTGCAACAGCAGATATTTCAACCACCTGATTATTTTCGGGTAATTTTATGACAATTAGTGGTTGGTTAGATTAAGTTTTTCGCTAGACTGACACTTTTTATTACCATGATCTTTTTGTTTTAGATTGTTTTCGAGTTCCAACAGAAAAATTAGGAAGGGCAGACCTCAGACACATAAATTCTTGGTGAGAGTCTGCATTTATTATGTGAAAAAGTCGTACAAGTTTTATGAGGTTGCCTTATATGGAGGTATGATAAAACGATTTTTTCACACTCTTAAATTGAATTTGTTCATGGTTTCATCTTCCTTCCTTTAAAACAGATGGTGTCTTTATAAAATTGGAGTGCAGAAATGGTGTATATACATATGATTTTCCATCAGCATGAACGTCCCAAAACCGTTCAAATCGTCCACTCTGAATGGGGGGACTAATAGACTCATGCTTCTCTCATTGGTGTAATTATGGTGTGCGTATTTTAAGTCAGCTCTTCAGCAGAGTCCCGTAACCTGGCTTGAGAGTTCAACTTATTTTTGCTTATCTACCGGCTCATTTTGGAGGCATCTGGAGTACGTACTGTGAGGTACTGAACATGTTGTGTTTAACGATGTTTATAACCCAAGAATTTAAATAACACTAGTTGTTGTAACACTGTCTTGAGTATCATGAACCTAGTATCTGTAAACACGTTAGCAAGTTTCCTCACATTTGTTGCAAATGCCGTGCGGTGTTGCGCCAAGTGCTTAAAAAGTCCCGAGATGATCCAATGAAACCAGAATTATGTCGCCTAAACTAACGAGTTGTTTTTTTATTTTGAAATTCTCAAATTCTCGCCCTTAGAATCTACGCAATAGCATTTTTGGAAATGGTTGTAGAGAGGGTGAATGCATGTTGCGAAGAGTAGGCAAAATTGAGAGTGCTTGGCTGCGCGCGCGCAGTGTCCAGGCACTGTCTGGAAAGTCCATCTCGCCTTAAAACTATCTGTTACGCGACTGTCTTGCTTTTGTCATCAAGAATGCACAGGAGCAGAACGGATGGTATCAGCGTTTATCAAAGATTCTTTTGGCCTCACTGCGTGTGATTCAATTTTCGACTTAGAGTAAATAAAAAAAGTTCTTCCTTTCGTTTCCCCGACAAAAAAACTTTTCAACCAATCTGGTTGTAGCAAACAGCTGTTTTAATGGAGAAGATCATTTAAACTTTCTAGCTTGGTGCAAAACGGGGTGTTTTATATTTGGTGCTTAGTGTCATATTACCGCAGTGGGGTTTTTGTCGCCCAAGTGGACTTTATAACCAAAAGTGGGAATACCCAACAGAACTTTAAAAAAATCAGTTTAGTCAAAGGAAACTATTCAGGAGGTTGCTGGAAACACCTCCACAGCCCACGAGCTGTTTCGCCCTTCTTGGGGCTCATCAGGTAGGCGTAGTCCCCGAGTCTCCATCAACCTTATGTTCTACTTGAACCCAAATTGGACTGTTTTCGAGAAATACACTCATTTGCAAATCATTTTGTTTTTCACGAGAGACTCAACTGAATCTCTTGTTTATGATATTCTACAACCAAGAAGGGCGAAACCGTCGTGGGCTCTCGAGTAGTTTTTACCAAACTTGTGAGTAGTTTCCTTTATGAAAATATACTGCGATGTCTCGAATATCGTGACAACTGAAACATGAGGCGGCCTGTGTGCAGCACGTTCAGTTGTACAATATCATAAACGAGCGATTCCGTTGAGTCTCTCGTGACTTCGTAAAAGAATTTGCGCAAGCCTCACCTACAAGCAAAAATGAAGGTAACGTCTGCTTGGAATTGGCCCCGTTTGATTGTAAGTAATTTCTAATATCACAACAAATTCCAATAGAAATTAAAACATAAGTAGATAGGATGCTTTCTTTGACACAGTTAAGTGCCGAAAATAGTTTAAGTCAAGGTATAGAGTAGATTTGTTTTGCTTGAGTACCCCAATTTGAAACAAATTCACCCCCGGGCTATCTCGTTGTGTAAACATGGAAGAATGCTTACTGAGAGGAAACGGTAATGACAAAGCAAACCCTAAGAATGCTCCACATTTGCCCGAAGTTTCTTAGCTGGAATTGCAAAACGGCAGCGGTTACACGGAACTGGATTTTATCGCCTGTACTAGAACAATAAAATCTGGAGCAGAGTTCAGCAGTCAAGGTCAATTTTCGCTGTGCATCGGTTGGCCTATCGCAGGGAAAACATGTTGGCTTTTGAATGCGTACAAACAGTATTTTGGGAGTTCACTTACAACTACCCGACCGCCTAAATGAAAGTGCTATGTAGTTTACACAAACTCAGCCCCCCAGTCGTATATACCTAATACTCACTCAGGATGTTAGATGGATGGGAAATCTTGTAGAGATCATTTTGAAGAGTCGGTGGTCTCTCTTAACCTGTCGTTAAAAAAAGATAAATCAAAGGACGTTTCACACGCGCCTGAAATCTTATATAAAGCAGCTTTTCTAATATCATCACTCAAAGTTTTCCATGAATTGAGGTTTATGTTCGCAAGGATTCTCAATACTTTGACAAATTCTCATAAATTCCGTATTTATTTGGGAGCGTGACATACACACTTCTATTAAAAAGTAACACAAGTTGAGCGAAATCTCGCTGGCTCATGCGGAACACGATAAACTGAAAGGTCTCGAAGGGTTCCTTTGAACATTTGGTGTAGGTTCACGATGGTTGACAAACCTCATCTCTGCCGAGGAATTGTACACCACTCATTTTCTCCGACATACCGCTCACAGTTCAGATTCTGTATACAGATTTCCTTATGGTTCCTTGTATTCGAGAAGTGCTCTCGCATTGCTGACCCAAAGTTCTTTTCCAAACTTTTACACATATTCAGAATAGCTAGTTATTGGGCTTACACTTATCCATTGATTATTTTTACAGTGGTAATATTTTTTAAATCTATTTTCCTTATTCATTTGTTCATTATAAAGCTATCGCACTAGCTTGAATTCAACAACGTTTTGTAAGAAAATAGCTCAATCACTACATGATGTAGGGAACCTATTTATTTTTACTGATAACGTCAAATCAGAATAGATTTTCTTAAGGCGACTATGAAGTATCAGGAATGATGGACGATCTGCCATGCATGGTTGCACCTGGCAAATGGACTTTAAATCGTAATAAAAATTTGGTTAAAATACTCTGCACACTTCGTGGGAGTTTCTTTCGAGCCATAAATCCCGAGATAAATTCGGTTCAAGAGACAGTCCTTGTTTCTCAGAAATTCATCGGATGCACTAAATCTCTGCTTTCCGTGAGGGTCAGCTTGTAGTTTTGTGTGGTCAGGATCAGATCAATTAACTCTCAACCATAACTTATCTGGGGGAAAAAGATTTATGTTTATGAAATGGTGCAAAGTTTTGTCACAATTTTATGCCAGCTAAAAAGCAAGAGATGACCATTTGCCGAGGCTTAAAATAACGAGTGCATTAGGTCCGACTTTGAACGGGGGTAGTAACGACCGCTGTGTTCATCAATATGTGGGTCGTGAAATTAATGGTAGCCTTCGGTACTTTGTGACTAATTTCGGCTAGTTGAGAAATGTTATTCAAGTCGATTGCGGCTTTGCGCTCCAAGCTCAACTTGCTCTCATCTGCATGACAGGACTTTTGACAAAAATGCTGGAAACAACACCAAGTTGTACAAGAAAGAAACATACTAAAATTTGGAGTGCACAGAACGTTTGAGGACTGTGTATGTGTGTAAAATCAACTAACACAGAGGTTGCTTGGAGTTTATTCAAAACAAAATTTGATAGGTGAGTTTTTGGTAAAAACAAGGAGAAAATGGCTGTGAAGAAAGACAGCTCCATATGAAATCATCTTTGCCACATAGCATGTACAAGTATACAAGTATCGCACTAACCAAGACTGTGATCTGGAAGATAGAAAATTGCCAGCAACCTTGCGCGTATTTCGAGCAAAGTATAAGTGGCTGTTTTTCTAGTTCAAGATATTTACTAACCCAAAGTTCTATGGGTACGAAGTTGAAGTCAGTACCAAGAACAAATCGCAGGAACCGTTATATGACTGACTCAATTACATCCGTGTGTTCCTTGGCTTAGTAATGATTTGTTCTGTTACACACAGGCCGTGTTGATAGTCAACACTATGTTACTTAGGCAATCAATGAGTTTCACTCAGCCCAAGCGTGTAGCTAACAGGTCAGTGTCAAATGTTTTTCATATTAAAATAAAACCATTTTTTGTAAATATGCAACATTAGCACTGAGCGTTCCAAGGTAGTGGAGAAAATGAACTGGCAGCTGAAGGATAATTTTTTTCACTGAGACGCCATCTTTCTTTTTAAATCTATCAACGATGGCACAGAATAAGCTCTGATCAACTGTTTAAAACAAGGCTTCGACTGAGCTTCAGTGACATCGCCCTTTAGATATCACATTGTTGTAAAGTCCTATTTGAATAATACCGTTCATGGAATAATAAGCCTTTACAACTGCGATTTGAAAAGTCCAGTTTGCATTGGGCAGCAGTGCGCGATGACAGGTTCACATATCCTGTGATCATTCGATACGATCATAGTCACACTCAGTCCACTTAGTCGCGTTTCTTGTTTCCGTATCATGAATGTTCACCAAGATGAGGGTATCGTAGTGTCGTTCTTTTATATTGACTGTCAGTTCCCTCCGATATTTAGAAAAGGCAACATTTGGTATATGAAATATCAACAAATCGTTTCGAGAACTACACTCATTTGCAAATCAATTTGGTTTTCACGAGAGACTCAATTGAATCTCTCGTTTATGATATGCACACAGGCCGCCTTATGATTCAGTTGGCACGATATTCGAGATATCGCAGTATATTTTCATAAAGGGAACTACTCACGAGATTACTGAAAACTCTTCGACAGCCCACGACCGGTTTCGCTCATCTGCTTTGGGCTCATCAGGTTGGCGCAGTCCTCGAGTTTCCGTCAACCTTATGATTTACTAGAACCCAAATTGGACCATTTTTGAGAAATACGCTCATTTGCAAATCAATTTGGTTTTCACGACAGACTCAACTGAATCTCTCGTTTATGATATTCCACAACTGAATCTGCTGCACACAGGCCGCCTCATGTTTTAGATGGCATGATATTTGAGGGACATGAAAATATATGATGTTATTTGGGCTGGAAGGTTAGCAAGAAGTAAGATGTCTCTTGTGTTACAACGACTGTTTACTCAGTCTTGCAAAAATACACTGTTGCAACAAAGTTTTCCATGTAAATGAAAAAAATCGATTGACAGTGGTTGCATCAATGAATTGACAAGGTCACACAGGAGGATAAATCATAAAATGTTATAAAGTGAGTGATTTTTGGCATCTTTGTTTTATCCAAGTACAAGGTACCGATTTCCTAGACGACGGAACGTACCACGACTATGCCTGTTAGCTAATCATCTTCTCAATTTGTGGTTAGACAGGATAGATCAAAGTTTAAAAAAATTCAAACATGTCAGAAAGCCTGACAAAATCCATTCAAAAGTCATCACGTTACATGGTAGCACATATTTTCGCCCGTGTATCTTCGACTAATTTCTGTTATGACAAAGTTTCAAAAAAGTCAGATTTTTGCCAAAAGCACGCATTTATACAGTCATTTTGTTTGGACGGGAAATTTTCGTTTATCATGTCTTCAATTCTGCTTTCAAGAAAAACCAAACCTGGTTGTTTTATACTAGTGTGAATCAATTTATTCATTAATACAGTGAACTTTTATTCTGTCACGTCAGAAAATTCCAAAATTTATTTCATGGTATTATTATAGACTTACATTTTTTCTTTTGATTAAGTCTTTGGAAGAAAGGCTGATCTGAGGGTTTCTGAGTAAATGAATGTTGTTTGATGAACCTGTGTTTTCTCCTTGCAGATACTTTAATTGCACTTGGTCTTGAGAAGCATATTCTTCGCACCGTTGTTTACCAGTTGGAAGCCAAATGAATCGCAAGATTTGCCTGAAATATTCACCTCAAAATATGGCTAATTACACCGATTGTCATCCCAAATGGTCACAAACCAACCAAATCCAGCTCTATGTAAACTTCATAATCAGTGTATCTTAGCTACGGACATCCTACGCACCTGTGTGGCTGAATAAATGGTAGCAAACGTGTGCCAAGTTAGAGATGATCTTAAAGAAAGAAGCGATCGTTTTTTGGTCAGAAAAAGCCTCCGAATCTTTCCGCATATTTATCTCTAACGAGAGGTGTGTACACTTGTTGATACCGAATTGAAGATTTATCTCAAAAATCGATTCGTATGTCACAGGTCTTAAATATATAGACCATGATCAGTAGTGATTTGTTGGTTAAATACGCAGGTATTTCTATAGAGGAAAATGTCGGTATCTCAGGTAGCGTAGGTGGTGGTCGTTGGCTTGTTCACTGAACTGATTACGACGGCAGGGGATGCCAAGCTCAAAGGTCATGTGGGCATCGGCGAATGGGGACACAGGACAACGGAGCAACCCATGGAATCGCCCGACCGAACAAATAATCGCGACCAAAGGTCATCTTCTGAAACGTTTGCATCAAATTGCCCAGCTCAGCGAACAAGCCAACAAACACCACACAGGTATATCAGATAGTGGCTGATTGCACGCCCGATGGCTTATTTAAAGCTCGATAATTACCGGTCCTTTCTCGCAATACTGTAAACGTAAACAAATTCCAGCTATATGCCGTTTTAGTTTCTAAACGTCTACATTAGATTACACTC